CATAACACCTGCCTCCCATACAAGTCAGTTCTTTCTGAGATGCATGGTTTGTGTGCAGGCGGGGTGGAGGGAGGGGGGACAGGTCCTCACACATTTGTTTTCTATAAATATATTTTTTATTGATATTTTACAGAGAGGAGGAAGGGAGAGAGATAGAGAGCTAGAAACGTCGATGAGAGAGAAAAAAACATCGTCCAGCTGCCTCCTGCATACCCCCTACCGGGGATGTGCCCGCAACCAATGTACATGCCCTTGGCCGGAATCGAACCTGGAATCTTTCAGTCTGCAGACCGACTCACCACCACTGAGCCAAACAGGTTTCGGCAACACACACTTGTTTTCATAAGATCAAATATGCCACATTGTAGCTCAGAGCTTAGATATTGGGGGTTGAGGCCCCGGAAGTCCTTTAAAACCAGTGTTCTCGCATGTAAACATCTTCAAGTGTGCAGTGAGGGCTCTCCAGTGTGTGATGAAAATCAGGACAGCCTCTGGCTGAGCGAGCCCAGTGCAAGAGTGGAATCAGCACCAGAAAACTTACTTTTAACAGTTTGGGAAAAGAAGGAATACTTCCAACTTTGCAAGAAGACAAGACCATCATACCGACAATAAATGTGAACACTATTACTACGGAGGAAGCAGAGAAGTGTTAACCAGCCGCCGAGGTGCTGTGTGTTTGGAAATCTCAACCCGCCACTTGAAACATTAGTGTTTTAATTATTAGCTGCTAACACCACATGCTCTGCTGCTCCTGGCCTGCCAGCCAAAAATGGGCTGTGCTCCATCCGCCAGCCTTCTTCCCGCAGCAGCGGCCTCAGGCAGCCTGTGAGATAGGGACGCTGCTCTGTACCTGGCCCCTTTAAAGGAAGAATCAGTCATTCAAAAACAAATGACACATGACTTGAGATTTGAATGATAGGGTTTTTTTTTTTTTTTTTACAGGCATGAACAATAGATATATTTCCCAAATAAGCACAGGCCAACCAGCAAGATGCTTCCTCACCCACACCTGACCCCTGCTCCTTCTGGGAGCCTCTGGTGCCCCAGAGACAGTGGCACAGGTGTCTGAGCTGAACGCCTCTGCTAAGTGACTCAATTGAGTCTCAGTAGAACCCCAAGCCCCAGGTCTGTAGTTAACATTTGGATTTAGTGTAGATTTAAATATCGCTGCTGCTGGCTGCTTAATCTGCGATCAAAATCAGAAGAAAAGCAGGAGAAAGAAAAAAGCAAATGCAGGCTCTGCCTCTGTGAGCCTGACCAGGGAGCTAGCTCGTCCCAGGGCAAGATTATGTCTTCACTAATCCTTATAGGAACCAGAACTGTTAAATCCCATCAGGAAATATTCAAGTCAGTACAGGTAATTATTTTCTGCTTAATTAAAATGTCCTCGTCAATAGCATAACTTGAAGTGGCGGGAGTGGGGGATGGTTAAAATGCAAATTTCAAAACCATTCCCTTTTGATCACGGGAGCTGCAGACTAGAGCCTGGGGCCACAGCCTGTTCCTGTAAATAATGTTTCATTGGAACGCAGCCCACCACCCATGCTTTAGAGTGGTCTGCGGTGGCTTTCCACATTGCAACAACGGATTTGAGTAGTTGCAACAGAGACTTTGGCCGCAAAGCCTAAAATATTTGCCCTCTCACTCTTACCAGGAGTGAAAAGTTTGCAATCCCTGCTCTTAGTCATGACACGTAAGCAGATCTCTACCCCTTGCGATGCAGGCAGGGCCAGCTGAACTGCATGTGCCTCTAGGGCACTGGTTCTCCTGGGCCTCACCTGGCGCTGGGAAGCTGTTTTTTTAAAAACAGTGGAGTCAGAATTGCTGGGGGTAGAGCCACACTGGCATGTGTGGGAGCTCCAGGGTGGGAAGCTGGTGGAGAACTGGGATACTCTAGAGTTTAGGGGTGATAGATGCTCCCTTCCTCCAACTGATGGACTGAGAAGGAAACTCCACCTGCGGTTGGTCATTCCTGAGCACCCAACCAGGCACCTTATATGGACTGTACATTGAGTCACCAATCAGCACCTGCCAAATACCCTAACCCGATTCCTAAGTCCCTAGGTCCCTAATCATAGGCCTTACATGAATCCACCATTCAACGTGTGCTGAGTGCCCTAAGCCCCGTCCCCTCTCTTTCCTCCCCTCAAAAGGGGACTCTGGCCCTCGCTCTTTTCTCCTCTGGAAAGCAACCGGCAGTGGTCCTCTTCTCTTCAATAAAGCCTGTGTCCTGATCCCGGTCTCCAGCCTCTCTGTTTCATCTTTCAAGGGGGAAAGAAAAGGAATGGTGGCTGTTGGAGTTTCTCCATCTCTGCTTCCCTGGCACTTGGCCTTCTTGCCCTGCACACGAGAGCCCCCCGAGCTATGGCAGCCTCCGCAGGCTGAGTGGCTGCACCTCTCCCAGGGACAGACGGTGGGCGTCTGGTTGTCCACCCCCCTGCACATTGGAATCACTGGGAATTAAAGAAAAACCCCAAGATCCTCTTTCTCTTCCTTTCTCCATTTAGGCCTAAAGCCATTGGGTGACCAGTGTAGTGGGGGTGGGGGCTGTGGTGGACCAGAATAAGGTGAGGAAGGCACTGTGCAGACTCGGGGACAGCTTGAGATGGGAGTTACAGCCCAAGCAGCGTCAGCAGGGTCAGAAGGCATGTGGTGTAGGTGGGAGATTGTTATATACAGGGATTAACCAAATGAGTGAAAATATTAAGGATAATGGAAGGCAGGTTTCTTACAATTGGAGGAGGAAATTGCAGCCATGAAAAGAGAGAGGACTAGAATCAACTCTGTGATGCTGGATTGGAACTGGAAACATTAACATGGAGATTTTATATATATATACCACGGAGAAGGCCTGAGAGCAGTGACACCCCAGTAGTAATGAGCATACTTATCACTCAGATCTTGGCTATTAAATACCATTTTCCACTAACAGGGACCAATATGCTTTAAAGAAATGGCTGCTTCCAGGACCGGGTGGGAATGTACAAATGAGCCTGAACTGCTTTGTTGTGAATGAGTGATGGCAACGTGTGGAAAGGAGGCAGACGCCAGCTAGCATGGGCTCCTGTGGCCAACTCAGGGCCAATCTGCGCATCAAAATGAATAAGGATGGCAAAATAGGAAACCACACGTTTATATGGATAAAATTTCAAATGAATAAATAGAAAGTTTAATGAGGAATGGGAGCTTTACATAGTGTCAAAGTATCTACCTACAAAGTGCTTTTTTTTACTATAAAAGCAGGGGAAGTAGGGACTTGACTGTGAGAAGCCGGGCACACACCCCCTCCATCAAGCGGGACAGATGGAAACCACCTGACAGGAGGCGATGAGAAGACCGCATTGTTCCGGTGATATCCCTCCCAAAGGCGCAGGGCCTTGATTGAATCACGAACATTTACCAAACAAATGCAAACTGAGAGCTATTCCGTAAAATATGTATGTGTCAAGGTCAGGAAAGTCGAGGAAAGTTGAGGATTGTTGTAAACTGGAGACCATTGACTACTAGACCCAGCACTTGATCTTGATCTGGGTCCTTTGCTGTGATGGGCACTGTCAGAGCAATGAGTGCCCGTTGGATGGTGGCCATGGGAACGTACAATGGGACAATGCGAATGTCCCACGTGTGATGGTTGCACAAGGACACTGCTCCTTCAGCGTGCACACACATCACCCCGGGGGTCTTCTTAAGATGCAGATTCTGAAGCGGTGCGTCTGGGCGGGGCCTGAGATGCTATCTAACCTGTTCCCAGGGAAGGCCCATGCCGTCAGCCAGGGGGCCACACTCGAAGTCGCCAGGACCCTGGTGAACACTTTGCCTCCTAAACCCACCTCTTGTGGTTCCAGACTCTGGTTTTCCTTTGGGAACTATCTCCTCCCCACTCTCCCTGCTCCTGTTTGGGGTCAAATGGTCCTCAAACCACCACAAAGGTTGTTTTGAGTGTTTTGTATGGTACCTGGCTCAGAGTAAGATGCTCAATACATTTTTAAATTATTGTTTGGCTTATACAATTCGCTGGTAGCTTTTAGGTCATAGTCTGTCTTGACCGAGGCTAACCACAGAGTCTTGGGATTCTGGAAGATGAGGCCAAATATTCCACTGGCTATTATGTTCTGGCTGCCTCTGGGCCCTATCAGTTCTTGCCTACTTTGGAAGCAGCCTGAGTGCCCATCCGTAGATGAGTGGATAAAAAAGCTGTGGTACATTTACACAATGGAATACTACTCGGCCATTAAAAAAAAAAAAAAAAAAAAAAAGGAAATCTTACCTTTTGCAACAGCATGGACGGACCTGGAAAGTATTATGCTAGGTGAAATAAGCCAGTTAGAAAAAGACAAATACCATGTGATTTCACTTACAAGTGAATGTAATGAACAATTAACCTTTCAAACAAAAGAGAAACAGACTCACAGATACAGAGAACAGACTGACAGCTGTCAGAAGGGTGGGGGGTTGGGGGGGCTGGGCGAAAAAGGTCAAGAGACTAAGAAAACAAAAACCACACCTCATAGGCACAGACAACAGTATGTGATTATCAGAGGGGAATGGAGGAGGCAAGAGAAGAGGGGGAAAGGGGGATAAATGGTGATGGAAAGAGAATTGAGTTGGGGTAATAAACACACAATCTAAAACAATCTTACATGGCCTCGTTACTCAATTGATACCTAATTTGTTCCCATCCTGTATTGAGTTGCCTATAAAATACATATCAAAAGGAAATAAATTAGCAACGTTGTAGGTGTCTCAAGCATGGTTCTCCTGTTCCCAGTAATCTTAGCCTCCAGCCAGTGATCAGAAATCCCTTTCGACTGTCTATATTCTACTGCCATCCTGTGGCCAGCTTGTGCCACTGCAGCACCATGGCCAGATGTTGCTGAGCAGCTGTGCTCAACTGTCCTCATCTGTCCTCCTTGTACCCTCGGGGGGCTCTTGGGAGGAAGGGAGTGCTGGGGAAAAGTCTGCTCGGGCCCCTCACCAGCGGGTAGGAGTCTGGGTTTGAATCACCAATCTTGACTTGATTTCTGTTTGATGAACTTTAAGGACACATAGTACAGGGTCACGAAGCCACCGCTGATGCCGATGAGGATGAGGTAGATGGCGTAGAGTGGGTACGAGTCCAGGTGCATGGAGCTGAGGATCTAGGGACACGGACATCAGTGAGCTCATGGAGGCGGCCAGAGGGAGGCCAGGGCTAGGGGTCCGAGCCCTCGGCTACTTACTTTGTCTCCCGGGACTGGGAGGGTGAGGTTGCCGACCACCAAATGGTAAGTTTGCCCTTTAAAATGGATCAGCATCAGCCCTTCAAAGCACCATCGGAGGAAGGACACGTTGGAGATCCAGGTAGGCACTGAGGACAGCGAGAGCCACATTATTCACACCGGCCGACCTCTTGCTCCCTAAGAAACATGTCTGGAGACAGGGGGCCCTGCTGGAAGCAAGTCCCCTGATGGAGCAGGGCGGCAGGGGGCAGACAAGAGGGTGAAAGGGCAGAGGGGCAGCTCGGGACAGGGGTGGGGGTGGGGGTGGCCAGTGGCCGCGGGGTCAGGGCGCGTTGGTCTATAACAACTCCAGAGAGTAAGGTGTTGGGTGTCCCTCCCAGCACACACTCAGCCTCCCAGGGCAGGCAGGCTGTAGAGACTCAGCAGCCCCAGACCAAGATTTCTGAGTCCGAGTCCTGACCCTGGGGAGGGCTGAGGGCGAGGGGAGGAGGAGGAGGAACACGGAGCCCTGCCAGGGAGGGTCAGGGAAGGCCTGGCCGAAGGAGGAGCTGAGGATGGTGCTGACTGCTGTTTCCATGGAGAGGGGAGCCTGGAGTGTGTGGTGTGGGGGCTCAGAGAGCCGGGTGCAGGCAGCAGGGGGTGAGCAGCCTGCCCTCCCCCGTGGGTTTGCCCTGAGAACGCTCACTCTGCATGGGGAGGGCTGAGAGGGACGTCGGAGGGACCAGGGCACAGAGAGCAGGCTATGGCCTTGGCCCAAGATCGGATAATAAGACCAGGGCTAGGGGGGAAGGCGATGGGACATGTCAGGAAGATGGGGGAGGCAGAATGGGCCCGGCCCACTGCGATGTGAAGGGTGGAAGACAGAGGGTCAGGGGTGACGCCCGGGGGTCAGGTGAGGGTGATTCCCTCGGCGTGCAGGACAGCTGGACCCACACGGTGCGCTCGCACCTCCGGGCCGGAGCAGGCGGGAGCCGCAGGGGGCCTTGGCACGCCTCACCTGTCCACAGGTTGCTCAGGCTGATCATGAAGCCGCCGGTGAGGTAGAAGGAGTTGTAGAGCGCATTGCCGAGGAAGGAGGACATGTGGAAGGTGGGCAGCAGGGCGGCGGCGCACAGGGCCATGAGCCTGCAGCAGAACACCACCAGCCACACCAGCAGGAAGTGCAGCAGGAAGGGCTCGGGGGCCGGGCGCAGGTTGGCCAGCCAGTAGGTGGGCATCCCGTAGATGAGGATGTAGGCGCAGTGCTCCGGGAGCTCCCCGAGGATCTGCCAAGAGCAGCCCGCGCAAGGATGTGGGGCCGGAACCTGCGCCTGCCGCTGTTCCTCATGCACCGTTGAGGACGGCCACTCCCGGCCATGCCCCCGCCCTCCTGGGGATCGGCAGGTGGGTGCGGGGAGGGGGACCCTGGAGCGTGGCTCCCCCTGCAGGTGCCAGGTGCTCCCTCTGGGACAGGTGAGCGCAGTTTCCCCCAGGGAGGCAGTGGGGATCTGTTCCAATAAGACCTGGTTTCCCGGCCCCACCCCGCCTGCCCAGACCCA